GATGAAATTTGTGACGGATTTTTAGAGACGGAAATTTTTTCGTCACAAAATCCGTCACAAATGTTTGACGGATTTTTAGAGAAGGAATATATTCCGTCACAAAATCCGTCACAAAATTCAATAAATTCTAGTCCGTCACAAAACTTAAAATTCCCTCACAAAATGCGTCATTATTAGCAATGCTATTTTTTCCGTCACAAAATTCGTCACAAATATTAATTTTTCTAGTAGTGGCTTTTCTAAATGGTTATTTAGAAGAGGAGATATATGTTGAGCAACCTGAAAGCTTTGTGGTTAAAGGACAAAAAGGTCTATTTGCTAAAGAAGGCCTTGTATGGTTTGAAGCAAGCTCCAAGGGCCTGATATAGCAGAATTGATGAGTACTTGCTAAGTATTGGCTTCACAAAAAGTCTTAGTGAGTCAACTCTCTATGTGAAATGCTTGAATTATGAAATTTTAATTGTTTCTTTGTATGTGGATGACCTTTTAGTGACAGGAAGCAGTATTGCATTTGTTGAGGAGTTCAAACAAGATATGATGAAAGTTTTTTAGATGACTGATTGTGGAAAAATGTTTTTCTTTCTTGGCTTGAAAGTCAAACAAGACCAAAAAGGAATTTTTATCCATCAGAAGAAATATGCAAAAGAAATTCTGAAGAAGTTTCAAATGGAAAACTCTAAGCCTATGAGTACTCCAAAGTTTCAAAAGTTGAAGCTTTGCAAAAAGGATGGTGCAGAAAAGGTCAATGAGAATAATTTTAGAAGTCTTGTTGGGTGCTTAATGTATCTTACGACAACAAGACCTAATATTTTGCAAGCTGTAAGTCTTTTCTTTAGATTCATACATCATGCAAGTGAAGTACATCTTCAAGCTGCTAAATATGTGCTAAGATATGTTAAAGGTACTCTTGACTATGGAGAAAGGTTCAAATATGATCAAGAATTTAATTTCCATGGATTCTCTGATAGCGATTGGGAGGTTCATTGAATGATATGAAAAGCACTTTTGGTTATTGTTTTACATTAGGTTCAAGAATGTTTTCATGGGCCTTAAGAAAGCAAGAAGATAATGTGGCACAATCAACTGTAGAAGCAGAGCTCATAGCTACTGCTGAAACTGTTAATCAAGCTTTATGGTTGAGGAAAATTCTAGATGATCTACAAGTGGTTCAAACAAATCCAACTAAGGTGTCCGTAGACAATCAAGCAGCAATTGCAATTTCTAAAAATTCAGTCTTTCATGGGAAGACTAAACACTTCAATGTTAAGCTGTATTTTGTTAGAGATTTTCAGAAAAAAGGTAATGTTGTGTTAGTATATTATAAGACAGAAGATCAATTGGCAAACATCTTCACAAATGCACTTCCAAAAGGAAAGTTTGAGAACTTGAGAGGAAAACTCAGAGTCAATAACTACTGATACAAGGAGTGTTGAGAATCTGAATCATCATCTATTATTTGAGTTTATTTCAGATTAATGGAACATTATTAGAATTCTTACAATTATGAATTTTAATTATAAGAATTATAGGTGTTGTTACACTTTTATGAGTATTTACATTTATCATTTAGTTTTATGTTTATGAGCAGAATTTGTATCAATTTTCAATTGTATTTTGTGTATTTAAAGGTTGTAAGTATGAATAAAAATACATGAGTTTCAACCTTCTAATTTTTCTAAATTCCTACGATTTGAAGATTCATACAGAAAAGCCCTTTCAAACGTTAATTTCCATTCATGGTAATTGATTGGGACATGTGTTAATTTAAAATTGGTGATTGATTCTATGATAATAAAAATCAATTAATAGGTCAAACAAGCTAAATGAAGGGGAGCTTATTTCATTTTAAATGTGATTCAACACAATCTCGTTGATTCAGTGAAATGGAAATGTTAATTTATGATTGCAGTCAATGAAAATGCTGCACTTGTACGATGGACTCCGTCCTTGGTATTCGTGTGACAACAATGATTCCTTTGCTGCTTCCATTTAGCCCCGCTTTCACACCAGTTTATTGAGTTCCTTCTCATTCCATGTTATGGTCATCTCTTCCTCTACAAAAGCAGAGCTTACCCTCACATTTCCTCAACCTTCTATTACTAGGAAAGGCCAAAAAATTAAGAGCAGCACTCTTGCAAATGTAATTTAGAAATCATTCCTTACATAACATCGCAATGTTATTTATTTGGTTCTTCTTGTTCTCCTACATGACTACAATTTCCACTTCAGTAGACACTTTAGCAGTGAGTCAATCCATCCAAGATGGTACAGCAGGAGGAATTACTGAACTGGGTTTCTTTAGCCCAGGCTCAGAAAATTCAACAAGGCGATACTTGGGTATATGGTACACAAACGTATCCCCTTTAACAGTGGTGTGGGTGGCCAACAGAAATAACCCTCTTGAGAATAACTCAGGAGTTCTCAAACTCAACCAAAAAGGGATTCTTGTGCTTCTCAATGCTACAAACACCACCATTTGGTCATCCAACATATCAAGCAAAGCAGTGAACAATCCAATTGCTTATCTTTTGGATTCGGGAAATCTTGTAGTCAAAAGTGGACAGGGAACCAACAAGGACATGGTCTTGTGGCAAAGTTTTGATTATCCGGGTGATACATGGATGCCTGAAATGAAAATTGGATGGAACTTAGAGACTGGTCAAGAAAGATATTTATCATCTTGGAAAAGTGCTAACGATCCTGCTGAGGGAGAATATGCTCTAAAACTTGACCTTAGAGGATTGCCTCAAATGATTATATTCAAGGGACATGACATATATAAGAGATTAGGATCATGGAATGGTGTTTCTCTAGTTGCAGATCCAGTTCAAGATTTTGAAACGTCACCAAAATTTGTGGCTAATGGAAAAGAAGTGTATAATTATTACCAGGTTCATGATAGCTCGGTCTTCTTTGTATACACCCTGACCCCATCAGGCACAGGGCAGAGTTCATCTTGGACAACTCAAACAAGCACTCGGAATTTCGTCTCCACTGGGGAGCATGATCAATGCGAGAATTATGCTTTTTGTGGCACAAATTCTATTTGCAATTATGATGGTAACCGTCCAACTTGTGAATGCCTGAGAAGTTATGTTCCAAAGTCTCCTGATCAGTGGAAAATATCAATTTGGCGCAATGGCTGTGTTCCAAGGAATAAATCTACTTGCAATAACAGTTACACAGATGGCTTCTTCAAGTACACAAACTTGAAATTGCCAGACACATCTTCATCATGGTTTAATATAACCATTAACCTGGATGAATGTCGCGAGTTATGTCTTAAAAACTGTTCTTGTACAGCATATGCCAATTTAGATATCCGTGATGGAGGAAGGGGCTGTCTACTTTGGTTTAATACTCTAGTTGACATGAGAAAATTCTCTCAATGGGGTCAAGACTTGTATGTCAGAGTCCCTGCTTCAGAATTAGGTAATCAATATTTTAATTTTGACCTTAATTTTTCCCTGCTTCATCAGGTCTGTGAAAGGTATGATTTTGCTAACAACTGCACAGAAAATTATTTGTAATGCTAGTTATTTATTATGTGGCATTTATTTTTCAAATAAAATACAATGTTTTTTCCCCCTACTCAGTCTTGAGAAACTAGATTCACTCTCTCAGCTTTTGTCAATAGAGCTGTTTATTTTAAAGTTGGTGACTGATCGATCTATTTTTCTTTTAGATCATGCTGGCCACGGAAACAACAAAAAGAAGATAGTAGGAATCATTGTTGGTGTGACTAGTTTTGGATTAATTGCCACATGTTTATGCATATTTATAATTAAAAATCCAGGTAAGTATATAGGTGTAATTTATCATCTAGTACTGTAAATTAGACCCAAAAAAGGTGCATATTATGTTTCCATGTTTACATACTTTTATTTTACAACCAATCAGGGGCTGCAAGAAAATTTTACAACCAGCATTACAAAAGTATACTTAGAATGGAAGACTCGGATTTGCCAACTTTTAATTTGTCAGTCATAGCTAAGGCCACCGGAAACTTTTCAACTGAAAACAAGGTTGGAGAAGGTGGCTTTGGACCAGTACACAAGGTGATAGAAAACAAAATTATATTCAGCATATCTATTTTCCTTGAAATCTTCATAACTTTTGTAGAATATTTCTCAGGGAACACTGATCGATGGGAAAGAGATAGCTGTGAAAAGGCTCTCAAAGAACTCTGGACAAGGGTTGTATGAGTTCAAAAATGAAGTGGCATTGATTGCCAAACTTCAGCACCGTAATCTGGTTAAACTTCTGGGTTGCTGCATTGAAGGAGAAGAAAAAATGTTGATTTATGAGTACATGTCCAACCACAGCTTGGACTACTTTATTTTTGGTTGGAGTTCTCATGATTTTATTCTAAACATCCATTACTGTCTTTTTATTGTTATTTACAGTTTAGGAATTATGGAGACTTACTGCTATGCTAAATATCTTCGTGTATTTGACTAGATGAAACCAAAAGAAAGTTCCTAGATTGGAGTAAACGTTTCAATATTATTAGTGGCATTGCTCGAGGACTTCTATATCTTCATCAAGACTCTACGTTGCGGATTATTCATAGAGATCTTAAAACTAGCAATATTTTACTAGATGCAAATTTGGATCCTAAAATATCAGACTTTGGCTTGGCTCGATTACTGTTGGGAGATCAAGTTGAGGCAAACACAACTAGGGTGGCTGGAACATAGTGAGTTAGTCTGTTTCTTAATTATTACGATTCTTAGATATTATTCTGTCAAGTTCTAATTATTTTACTTCAAAAATTTTATTTTCAGTGGTTACATACCTCCTGAGTATGCTTCCCGTGGACATTTCTCAGTGAAATCAGATGTGTTTAGTTACGGTGTGATAGTACTAGAGATTGTAAGTGGGAAGAAAAACAGAGAATTTTTGAACCTAGAACACGACAATAATCTTCTTGGACATGTGAGCATATTGATTTGATTTGATTATGTTGCTAATTATTTATAAATTGAATTACTTGGTTTGTATACTAATTTAATTCTCACTTAGGCATGGAGATTTTGGACTGAAGAGAAGGCCCTAGAATTATTGGATGAGGTGTTAACAGAACAGTGCACGCCCTCAGAGGTCATACGATGCATACAGATAGGTCTATTATGCGTGCAACAAAGGCCAGAAGATAGGCCAGACATGTCATCAGTGGTTTTAATGTTGAAATGTGATCAATCATTGCCAAAACCTAAGGTTCCTGGTTTTTACACTGAAATAGATATTACAACAGGTGCAAGTCCTTCATCGACAAATCACAGACCGTACTCGATTAATGAACTTTCCATCACAATGTTAGAAGCAAGATAGAAATTGGAAGCAAGAAAATGTTTAGGGTTCACCTTCCAATATTGGATATATGGGCTATTTGATCATACATGATTAGTCAAATTTCTATTTGAGCTCTTGCTTTATCTTTGTTTAATATGTAACCAAACAAATGTGAGAGGCAAAGTCTGTTTGATAAGTTTAGAAGTGTTTTTGAGATTTTTTCTACTAAAAATAACTTTATTTTTGGTAGAAAGACTCTCAAAATCACTTCAATCTTGTATCCAAACAGGTTCAAAGAAAAAGTTTTATAATGAGTTTGATTTAATAAGCTTCTTCGCAAACACTTCTAAAAGAGAAAAATATAAAGAAAACTACATGTATGTGCTTCCTCTCTACTCGACCATTTTAGGTTGAACTATATGGGCAAGACATCCTTTGTTGGATTCCAAAATCTTGGATTAGTTTTTGTAATGCTTTATACTCGCCAACACCATCCAAATGCAAGAACTTGATTTTCCTATTACATTGATTTTCAACCATATTTTTAAATTTCATAAAGTTTTGTAAGACATCAGACTTTTGTTTGAAAGGGAAAATCCAAGTAAATCTACTTAAATCATCAAGAAAATGTACATAATACCTGAAACAACTAGATGAGCCTATGGGTGCAAGACCCTATACATTGGTGTGAATTAAATCTAATGGTTCTTTGGCTTGAGAAATTGAACTTTTGAAGGGTAAAAGATGGGATTTTCCAAATTCCCATGCTTCACAAAATGATTACGAGTCACCAAAAGGAACTTTTATATTGAAATTCTTTAGGACTTGCTGTAAGATCCTGTTGTTCGGATGTCCTAGTCTCCTATGCCAACTTTTCTTGAGGTAAAGAAATGTTCTTGGACTATTATTCAACTGGTAGAGACCATCCTTAATTGTCCTTGCATTAGAACCTTCCCTATCACCTTGTCCTTCACAAAGCAATGATTTGAATGAAATTCCATAAAAAATAGTGCAGTCAGCATTAAGTCTAGATTCACTTAACAAATACTCTTGGTGACTTTTGGAACATACAACATATCATATAAACTTAAAGGCTTTTAATTGGTATTAAGGGTAGTAGATCTAGAAGCTAGAATTTTTAGTTTCTCACCATTACCTATTTTCAATGCATTCTTACCATCATTATCTAAAATCTCCTAAAATTGGTTTGAATCATAGGTGACATGATTGCTAGCCATATTGTCAAAATACCAATCAAAATCACGAACTAAGGTTGGTGAGTCAATGACTGTTGTAGAAAACAAAGAGAGACGAGGTAATACTAATATTGTAGGGAACGTAGCAACTCACTGTATTTTCATTGAATAAGGGATGACCTTTAAATAGCCATTGTACAACGTACTAAACTGACAAGAAGATAATTAAAATATCTTATCAAAACAAAACTTATCAAAAACTATCTTATCTAGAATGAAACAAATAACTCAAAAGATAAAACAAACTAAACAGATAATTCCGAATAACTAACTCGGATATCTCTAAAATTTAAGATTATCTAACAAAACTCCCCCATAAGCTTAAATTTCTCCTTCTTCTTTCATTCCGAGTAACTTCCTTAACTCTTGAAATGATTCTTGACAAAGTCCACATCGTCGAACAACTTCTCCAATAATATGCAGCCCGTCATTGCCTGATCTACCAGATCTTTCAAAAAATATTGCCATGGCTTCTAAAAGTTTGACTTTATTCAATCTTGCATCTTGGAAACAAGCTTCCATCTGCTGCAAGCTAGTTGCCAAAACTTCAGCTTTGCTTTTATTTCCTTCGCTGACTAATTTCATGTCGCGTTCCATAACTGCTCTAAGATATGGTTTCCATAGTTTATACCCCATGTCATCATATCCCATAACAAGTGCCTCGCCAAGACTAGTTGGTGTGAAACGAGTGCTAGCATTCTTAGTTGCATAAAACCGATCAAGCAGCTTCTTGATGTGATCATGCATTGTAGCATCCGTACCAATACCCTCGTTATCTATACAACTCAGCAAATCAGCTTCACTCAGAAGTGGTGGTGGTCGGGTTACTCTTGAATCAAGGGTTAATGTTGTTGGAATGAACTGAGGGTAACCCAAACATCCAACCATAGAATTTCCATCTCTATTTTTCCTTAGCACCATGTCTGATTCAATCTCCTTATCCATTGCTTTCTTCCATCTCTCATCAAGTATCGCCTCTTCAAATTTTATATCTTCTGTTCCTGTCAATAGACATACTACATGTAACTCGTCAGTGGAGTTGTAGATGTCTTGCTCCTTTGCTTTGTATTCGGACGAGCTCGGAAAACTTGTTCTTGAATACCCAACACCACGTAGTCCGTGCACTAACTCCTTCCTTGATAGCTCGGCCAAACCTCCAACGTTTAAATGCCCAAAACGAGAATGCCTCATCATTGCTTCATCCTTCACGTCCAGCTTTAAGCACTTATTTTGAATGATGTTCATCTCCATTTTATACATCCGATTCTTTTTCATCTCCACTCGGGCTATTAAACGATCATGCTTGTCCTTCAAATAAAGCACTCGATCCTTCATCAGAACCGAGTTGCCTTTCTCCATCATCTGCCCCATGCTTAAGATGTTGCTCTTAAGTTCGGGAACGTAGTAGACATTCCTTATTTCTCCAACTCGTCCATCCTTCTGCATATGCCTGATGGTTTCGCGCTCTTTTATCGCCACCTTGGAATCATCCCCAAATGACACAAATCCAGCCTTCACCTTGATGAGTTCGTTGAAAAAACTTTCTTCTCCACACATATGATTGCTCGCTCCAGTGTCCAAATACCAGACCGAGTTGTTTAAGCAACCCCAATCAAGCTCGGCCTCTGACTTCTCATCTGAGCTTGGAAGCTCAACTGCTGATCTCTCCACGTAACTCAAGTTTAGCTCAACCTCGGAGGCACAACTCGGACGTAGCTTGGTCTCCGAGCTCTGCGTCATCATTAAAATTCCTACTTCCTCGTCCTCTTCTTCTGTGAGAAGATTCTTCTCTTTCTCTTCACTTCGACTTTTAGCTCGGCAATACTTTGCTATGTGACCGTATTTGCCACAGTTGTAGCAATTTTCCGATCTGCATTCCTTTGCGTAGTGGCCGAGTTTGCCACACTTATAACATTCCACCTCCGACCTTGGCTGACTTCCTTGACTACGATCACCTCATCCTTGTCCACAGTCCTTTGCGTAGTGGCCATGTTTGCCAAACTTATAGCATTCCACCTCCGACCTTGGCTGACTTCCTTGGCTACGATCACCTCGTCCTTGTCCACCTTCATAATCACCTCGTCCTATACCTCGTCCTTGACCACTTGATCTTCGGCCCTGAGTGTTCCGAGTTCCATTCAAATCAATTTGCGCCTGTAATGCTTGATCAAGTGTATCCTTCATCTTCCTCCTCCTTTGTTCGTGGGCTTCGAGTGACCCAGCGAGCTATTCCAGTGAGAGAACTGACAAGTCCTTTGACTCCTCGATTACGCATGCAATGCTCCCAAAATCATCTGTTAATGATCTCAAAAATTTCTCCACAATTCTACTTGCTGGCATTGGCTCCCCATTCCTTCCGAGTTGGTTAGCCAACTTCTCCACCCGAGTTATGTACTCGGATACTCGTTCCTTATCTTCCATCTTTAAACACTCAAACTCTCCTCGGAGAGTTTGAAGTCGGATTTGTCTGACACGGTGGTTACCTCTATGTACAACCTCCAAGATCTCCCATGCTTCCTTTGAAGACGCAGCGTTTGCAATCTTCTCGAAGCCTGACTCATCCACGGCATTGTACAAAAAATACAAAGCCGATTTGTCCTTCACTCGTGTCTTTTCCAATGCGGCAATCTGAGCCACAGATTGGTCTTCGTCCTCCTTGGGTTCTTGGAACCCCTTCTCCACTATGTCCCATAGATTTTGGGAACCCAATAGGGTCTTCATCTGTATACACCAATTATCATAATTGGTTTTCTTTGACAATTGTGGCACGGTCATTCCATTAACAACCTTCGCCATTACTCTCTCTTTCTTCTTCCTTCCCCTTCACAGGCGCACATTGTTTTTCTCTCACACTCGGCACTCAGAGCATAAAGCTCTGATACCAATTTGTAGAAAACTAAGAGAGACGAGTAATACTAAATATTGTGGGGAACGTAGCAACTCACTGTATTTTCATTGAATAAGGGATGACCTTTAAATAGTCATTATACAACGTACTGAACTGACAAGAAGATAATTAAAATATCTTATCAAAACAAAACTTATCAAAACTATCTTATCTAGAATGAAACAAATAACTCAAAAGATAAAACAAACTAAACAGATAATTTCGAATAACTAACTCGAATATCTCTAAAATTTAAGATTATCTAACAACTGTGTGATGATTATTGTGTTGTCTATTCTCACCTGGTTGGTAGCCCATGCAATTTTTGTCAAACCTATGAAAATAACGTGTTGCTATATGTCTTGTTTTGTTGCATACTTGACACACACAAGTTTGTTGTAAGTTTTTGCTTCTTCCTCGTCCACCTCTATATTCTCTCTAGTTGTTTCCTCTCCAGTTGCCTCGGGTTGGTGATTTGGTTCCCTCTAGATGCCCTTATTTAATCCCTTAAAATTTTGACTGATAAGCAACATTTTTTGTTGGGCTGATGGCAAGGTTGGAGAATTTTTTTAGTTGTTCAAGTCAATTTTCATAAGCCAACAATTGAGCTTGTAGATAAACCCACTTAATGTCTGACTAATTAGAAAGTTGTACCACTATTGCATTGTACTCATGTAAACCAATAAGAGTTTGAATAAAGAGATCACCAAAGATGTACTTCTTGCAAGCTTTAAATTATCTAACAAATTCTTCATTTTGATGAAGTATTCCTCCATTTTTAGTGTCCCTTTTTCGGTATTGTGGAACTCTATTTTTAGTGATGTCACCCAAGATTGGGTGTGGGCACCAATAAGGCTTTCGGTACATTCCTAAAGATCCTTAAAGGTTTCATAGTGTAACAATTGGGTGGCCACATCTTGAGTTGAATAGCCAACCTAGAAGTTGTTGATTGTTTACAATCCATTCTTTGTATGCTAGGTTTAATTTCTTGGTGTCTTCTATTATGACCTATTGTTCTAGATGTTCCTTTGTGCCAAGAATAAAACCATTCGAGTTATTACCTCTTGAAGATACTTCAACACTTTCTTTGCAGCTTTCTAGTCTTACATTTAATGTATTTCTTTTATAAATCCCTAACATTCCAACAACTAAAGTAATGTTAGGTCTTGTACAAACTACAGA